TCGACTTGAATGCCAGTAACTTAGGCGATGACCTAGTTTCAGGCGGAAGATTATTCTATAGGAAAGCATATTTGGAAGCAAAGAAGAGGGAGCGCTTAGATGTAGTGCAAAGAGGCGGCGGCGGAATCACTATGCAGGAGTTGCGCGTGGCATATGACCGATCTCTCGGACTCAGAGTGTCAGTGAGCGGAAGACTGCAGCTAGAGTTGATGCGAAAAGGGAAGCAAAGACCAGCTTCGAGTCTTCTTACCCACAAAAACTTAATGTTCGGCAGCTGACATCTCTGAGTATAGGAAATACCGGAGGCGACTTGAGGGAGCAGTTTCCGAGTGAAAACCCTCTGAACATTTTCGATCTTATGGCGGTCGCAGGCAATCATCTAACCGAAGAAAGGACGGCAGTATTCGAGGACTGGAAGAACATGCATTTGATAAAGTCTTAGCTTCATTTCCGGAAGGAAAAAATTATGCGATATGAATCCACATATCTGCGCGGCTTTGGCAGAGATTCTATCTGCATGAGGTGATAAAGCAAGCTTATGTGTATAACTTAGACCTAGGCCCTTTATGGTGAGGCATTCTGAAAGTGAGTTATTCTGAAAAATTATGGGACCAGGAAGTTTGGCAGGACCAAAAGACATGAAACTACACTTGGATGATGAAAACTCCATCTGCCATGTTGAACCCCGTCTGCTTAAGCGTAGTAAATCGGCATTAATTTTTTCAACACAACCGTTTGCGGTGTCCTTAGAATATGAGTAAACACACTTTAGGTCATCGGCATAAATAAAAGTTTGCGAATTTCCGAGTTCGGTCGAAATATTATTGATGTAAAGAAAGACCAGCAGCGGACCCAGAACCGTACCTTGAAGTACTCCACTCGTGATCGAGTAAGGTGTCGAGTAGCTATTACCGACCATGACTTTCTGATATCGGTTGGACAGATAGGATCTGATGAAGTCGAGTAGAGGCGGCAGGATGCCAAGAGCTTCCAATTTTACTAAAAGACGTCTATGGGGCACCATGTCAAAGGCTTTGCTAAGATCAAAGTAGATGAAGGATATCGTTGCTCTTCACGCCGACCAGGAACGTTCAACGTCGGTCATGAACAATTCCGAGTATAAGATGAAATTACAATGTCTGTTGAAGGGCGATAAGACCTATGAGCCTTCAGAGATTGGAGAAATCAAAAAGCATGTGAACAATGTAAACAGGACGATAAATAACTTGAGGAAGTCGGAGACCCCAAACAAATGGAGTCACTGGTTGCAAGGGCCGCAGATGGCGCGTTCCTACGGTCTGCCAGAAGGGCATAATCTAGGAGTGCCCCTACAACCCCTTCGTCTCTTTACGCGGCACGCCGACCTCTGAACTGTCGAAGTGACTTTAATAACGGTTCCCTATCCCCACCAAAAACTCTGAGTGAGCAGTATAGTCGAATGGACAGTTTCTGAGAAATATCAGGAATCTAGAAATAAAGTCTGACAAAATTTTGGTGTCTTTAAACGTTGTCTAAATATTCCCACCCATCCCAACCGGTCCTGCTATTAGCACTGTTGACGACCTTCTTCCTGAAAAGTATGATGAAACTGACTAATAAATTGAGCGAACGTATCTCATCGAACTCCTGGATTGCACTCTGGAACTTTCCTCATTTTCAGCGACCTGATTCACGAACAAAATAAACGAACATCGATGGGGTGGCTGCTGTCGTAGTTGATTCCGAAGCGCTTCTATGGAAGCTCGATCGACAGGTCTTGCGTTCATGGTACCCAAAACTGGGAGTCAGGTAGGCTGCTGACACATGCGTTAAAATCATAAAGAACGACGTTCGGGCCTCAAAGGCAGTACTGAGCTCAAACCATCCCGACATCCAATCTACAATGAAAGAAGTAAACAACGATCTGTTGCGCTTGTGGCAGTCCGCGATCGTCATCACTGCGGCCTTGTTATGCAGACTTTCTGTGCGCTTAACACCCCCTCGATTTTCTTCTGGGACTGTGCGAAGCTTCGTACTATCCTCGCGAGAGCTTCAAACCAACCAACTGTGCTTCTTCGTTGATCGGCTGCAGGTGGACAGATGTCAGACAGGGTAAAGGTAGATGTTCTCTCTGGGAGATAAGGATTTCAACGGCGGACACTGACACACACTCGCCTGAAGAGTCAACATGGAGCAACTTCTTGCTGAGCCTCCTGTACTCTCCTTCACATCTGAAAAGCTTGTTCAACCTAATCTGTCTTAGATGACTTCTGACTCGGGATTCCCCGTTTGTGAAACTACGACACCTCCGACACTCATCGTTTATGTGCATGTTACAAGGACTGTAGACGGAAAGCTAAGAATTACGGTGCTCCGCCGAGCGGCGAATACAAAACAAGTCCTCTCACAAAGCGGGACGAGTGTGTGCGTAACGATCGCGGTGAGCATATGTATGCACTGAAAACGAACGCCCACGATGCTTTAGTATAACGAGTTATCTTGTTTGGGATCAGCGTCGGATGTTTACGCAGTATGTTGCTTCGTTCTCAGATAACTTCCCTCCCTTTAATATATTAGTCAGAGTGCTGGGCTCTGTAAATTGATCTTCTTCTGAGTGTTTAAGGATAAGGCTACATTTGAAGATAATTTCGATAGGATACTCTTTTTTCCTCTTGGCAGATCGAAATCATCAGCGCTGTATTGCCTACTTGTTTTGAGGATATTTCCGTGTCCAGACTTTCCGTGAATATCACCCTATTTCACTGAGAACGCGCTCATACGCGTAGAATAAAAATTCCTGTTATCACCCGCTCTTCCATTGGATATTGCCTCAAATGACTTATTTCACCTGGAGACGGTTCCTGACAGGGGCCAACAAATATTGGCCGGCCATCCTAACCTGGTCAGCTGCAAAGATTTGGAAATGATTCTCAGACATGGTATGACGCTGTTCGTTGCGAAACGTATGTGGGCAAAATGAATTTCAACAGAAAATATAACTGTTTGCCTAATATTCCTTTTCAACACGACTATATGCCTGAGTATTAGAAGACAAAGGAGACGACGTCAATAACATACATTTCAAGACGGTCGGCAACTTTATATGATCCAAGAGTTTAGGAATAAACGGAAACTTATTGCCTATGTAGAGGAAATTCTTCATGCCATTCGCAGTCCGCTTGAATATGCAAGTCGAAGTCAACAGCTGTACCAAATCTGGTCGGGCTCCCTCAGGGACAGATTTTCGGGTATTTGGTTTTCTGAATGTATCTCATTTAGTGCATGGCAAAACTGAATTTCACGTGAGTTTTGCTTGAAGATGACAGCAAACATATGCAATTTTAGCTACCGGACCCCTCAGGAAATAAGTAACAGCCTTTGTGAATAGTTAAATAGATAATTCCTAATGCCTAGTTACGTTTTTGCACTCTAAATCAATAAAAAAAGAACGTAGGCTCCCAAATCAAGCCCCTATCAGTACCTCCTTGACAGAGTGACTGAAAATCGTCGCGCAGGCATCTCTGATTAATCATCGTGTCCTCTCTAAGACCCTCTCTTTACCATGTAACAACGACCAAAAGTTCAACTGGGGTATTCTTCCGATTATAATAGTCTTTCGTTAGAGCGGATTAGGGACTAACTGGGCGAGTAACCGAGAAAATCATCCGTTTGCCACCCGGAATATGGAGTTTACCCTCAGCGACCTGGCATGATTTAAAATCCTAAATGACAAGGTCACGGGAGTGACGAGAATTTTGAAGCAACAATGTTATTTTATCGTACAGATACCGACTTGCTGAGCCCGACCTACTCCCTTAGAGATATCGCTATACAAGAAACTTCATGCAGACCCACAGAACTGCTCGGCGGTTCAACTGCGCCCTGCAGTCCTACTTATTATTCCCACTGGTGGCAAAAACCTAGGTGAGGATTTTCACAGACTCTGATGAAACTTGTCAAGCCCCAACGTGCCCAGCCATATCCACCAGATAATAGCCGCTGCTTGAGATGAACGACTCGAAGATCTACTCACGATAGACATAAAAGAGGCATAAAGACGGCGGCCCCGTATATGTTCACTTTGAACAGTCAGCACACAGATGGAAAAGCGGCTCCGGCGCAAGTCAGTGCTTTGTCAGCACGCATAACTAGATCATTCGGCACATATCGTGTCGATGATGGTGGTTGGACCGCCCCAATCGCGTATCCGCGTCTATTAACGTGCGTATCTGTCCTGTCCGCAGTGGCCTCCCAAGGGATTGCCTATCACCCTCAGATATACTGAACTGTGTGTCTCATCCCCGACCCGACAGTTACTAAACCAGCCAGCTCAACAGCTGAGTAGAAATCTTGGACTGGGAGCCGGATTCGCTCCTTCTTAGTCTCTGGAATTGTGTCCTTGACGGCAAACTACCGTCAAAACTACTGTTCGAGAGGCCGGAAGAGTTGGGTGCCGCTCCATATTCCCGACACCAAACGTGCCAGTCAAATCTAGATGAATGAGGAGTTTAGTTTGCCAATACAAGCGAAGATGCAAGTTCCAGGAACTAATTGATAAGAAGTAGAAGCGACATTAAGTTGCGACGTCACGAATAAATTGTCCGCCAAACTTGGGGCGCAAACTGCAGGAAGGCCTAAGAATGTTCGGCCTGCTGTGCAAACTGAGTGCGGTCACCTGTGCTCCCGGCAAGTTGACCAAATGCACGAAACCGACGAAAAGCCAGCTAGCCATGTGACAGGCAAAAAAGTGAAAAAAAACAACACCCGTCGAAGGCATCTTTTAGAAAACATAAAAAGAGAACAGTATAGACGAGAGTAGGAAAGCAGGCATGGGTAATAGATGGTGGCATATGCACAAACAAGTCTATGAAACTGTCATAAATCGAATTTCTAAGGTATGCAAAATAACACAAAAAGAATGCAAAAAGGAAAACAACTCTGTTTAACGAATATGAAAGAAGGCAACAGTCAGATTGTGTAAACAGAAGGATTGAGGTAGGAATAACTGGGTTGACTGTGGTTCACAGCCTGAGTGACTGGACCTCCGCCCTAGAAAGATAAATAAACGGTTTCAAAAACATTTTCGGGATACAAATCGATAACAGAAAGCATAAACAATACCATGTAAAGACGCATGGCATATGCTGATGACAGAGGGTCAGGATTGAATTCAGCCACAGCGATACCATGTACGCTATAATAAATGCGGAAGACACCAGAAAAAGATGTTTCGACAAATCCAGAGTTCCCTTCCGTATGGGATAAGAAAAATGGTCCTTCCGGCGCGATAGCCGCAGTCATGTAGTTGTGCTCCGGTGTCTCAATGGAGGTTTCCACAGCGAAACTTCGTCTCCTGACTGATAACGATGTGGTTTAGAATTAACATAGGTGCAGTAGCCAAGTTGGCTTTCTACGCGTTTAATGGCCCGAACGTATTAGGATGTGCAGCTGAATGGGTAACAGTCAACAACGAAGGACAGAGAGGGTGCGGCATACCACGACAAAGACAAAAATAACTACAGACCCATCAACTACGGTGCTTACATCGAGATACAAGAAAATTTGCGGACAACCAGGTCGGCAAGTTCGCCGTCTCGTGTGTTTGTGAAAACCTACTGCAGCAGTTTCTTTTGCTGAATATAACTTCAAGGTAAAGCTGGTGAGCGGAGCCCTTTTTCACAGTGGACAAAAGTCAGTGCGTCGTCGCAATTTTACGGCATTTTTCAGGTACTCGACTTATCAAGCCGAGTCACGACCACAGCACTACGGTTTCCCCGACGTATGTTCAGTGAATGGCCGCTAGTTGGCAACGGCCCAAAACACCAGAGGGACCCTCGGCAATCCCCCCCGATATTTCTTAGATCCAATTTCTTCCGTCGACCTGGCGGCTTTTTTCCAACCAGTGGTTGCGTCCCTCTGTTTTCGGCCAAAGTTAGATTAGATCACAGCAGTAAGATGGTTCAAAATACGCCGCTCGTGGAGAGTGCGACAATTTAAGCAAGATCTACAAAACCCTATGACGACACTCCAGAAACACCTGCATAAAAGATCTTGCAGATGCAATTCTAAGAGATAGTGTGGGAATGTTGGGGTTTTCGCTTTACTCTACTGGAACACACGGGGGGGAGGAGGAGGAGGAGGAGGAGGAGGAGGAGGAGGAGGAGGCCTTGGGTGAAAAACCGTGAAACAGTCGTCCAATGGAAGCAGTCGCAAGAACTGCTGCGATCCTCGTAAGGAGACATAACGACCCGAGGTGACAGGATACAGTCAAACGAGGTTGCCTCCTGCGAGGGCGGCAGTTTGTCTACTAAATTCTCATATTCAGAACATTGCTGTCATGCATTCATCTCACCAACAGCATCAGATATTCCTCACATTTATGAAAGGGAGAGTAAGGTCGACTCTGTGTACCCCGTCCCTACGGCATTCAACGCATATTCGCCACTGTCAGCAATGTGGTGAACACTTAAACCAGCACAGTGAACTAACAGCCGTGGCTCAAAGGCTGCCAGTTGACGGGATAAGTCGGTACTCTCAAATGGAAAGTCAGACTACAGTGACGCCTTCTATATGTGGCCTCTGTGGCATTCCCACGCTGTTGGGATCCAAGTTGCCCCCTTCCTTGTTTGCGTAAAATCCTGGCTCATCGTGCGCGGATCCGGCGTGTGTGGCATGTGCAGGCGGACTGTTAAACTTTGCCCACCATTGCGCCCGATCCTGCCTCCATTCTTGTAAACTTTGTCTTAAAACCGGGCTCTGATGGGTGAGGGAGGAAAGTCCACCACCACTACAAACCAACTCACGCGCAACTCACGTCCTTACGCGCACCCTGCTGTGAGGCACTAGGTGGACATCGTCGGTAACGACAGTCAAACGGTCAATAATTCACACCGGAGAATAGTGACGAAGGATAAGGTGAACAAAGACCGATCGAGATCCAATCTGGCGTAGGGTGAAGTTGTGAACTGTATACCGTTACCCACTACATCGTTGATCCGGTGTGCCTCCATCAGCGAAACTGCGGAGTGAAGGTAGTCGGGGAGCAGGAGCAAGCTTCAGCATTAGCAGTCAATACAATCTGTGCAAACATAGGAGGATAAAAGCGTGAATTATGTTGGTAGAGAAGGACAGCTGCAGCGCATGCCACAATGCACGCGGTAATTTCTCCCCGTGGTCCTTCACTGATGCCGAACTAGCACATGTGGCCCAACAAAGCCGTGCTACGCGCAGTGGCCATACTCCGATAGCTACTTCGACAGGTGAGTTATACTTCATGGGGGTAGCTGATGTGGTTTAATTGGAGCGGCAAAATTATGTGTGAGATGTCTCGTTTAGACAGTAAATATGAACCAGCCGTCTTGCGACATGCGAAACAGAGGCTCCATGCCCAGTCGGCCAAAGGCCCCATCCACAACTATCGGCGTCCTGCAAAAGGGGCGGCATGCGATCCCGCAGGCGATTTACATAAGTTGAGAACTAAAATGGATCTCGGCAGCCGACATGGATATCTCAGAAGTTCCTTCCAGAGGGGCATTCCCACATTATTACGGAAAATGAACCGGATATGTGCAATAAAGATGATGATGTGCATGCAGTCTGTGAGCTGATCGTGGCTCGCGGATGGTAAATGCGTGGTCGGAATACAATATGAAGCAGAAAACCACCATCCTCATCCATTCCTATACCTCTCTCCACCAGAGTGACCGTGATCCCTCTTGCAACCTAGACCGTCAGCTCTCCTCTGGACAACCCAGTGGTTAAATAGCCAGATGGGAGGACCGCCGTGGCCATCCCAGACCTAACCCGTCACATTGCGAACATTGTCGCACTCAACAAGACTCGTTTCTCGGAACAAAAACAACTCAATTGGGTCGATGCAAGCCATACTTTCTGAATTGGTCGCCTCGAGCAACAGTACCGAAATGCTAGAGTTGACTTCATAATCTGAAACAAACTTATTAGGAGGTTACCCTCTGTCCTACCGTGGAATCTGCAGTCATCTCATCCAAATGAGGCCCCCACACCTCGGAGATACATTTGCCACCATTGCCGGTACCTTTACCCATTCAATAACAGGCGGTGACGACGCGGATACACAGTTCTGAATGCTCTCCTTGTGCCCATGCAGAAGATGGGCAAAATGATTGTAACGGTGGTTTCAACTTCCCAGCAGGCAGTGATTATGCCATCTGGGAGGGACTGTCCGACAGTCGCTGAGTAGGCCTTTGCAACACCAAAGAAGCTCCAGTTGTTGAGAACATGCGTCCAAAATAACCTTCTGCCTATATGCAGTAGAAATACTATTTCACGAAATCTTGACCGAAATTCTCTAATATACTTTCGATTCGAAAAGATTGTTTAAGTAGGGTTGTAATATTAATTGTCGTGCAGCATAATCCTAAGATATTTTAGTCACGCCAGGATTCCGGCTGTTGAATATGCTCCTTTTCGGCCGACTGCAAAAGTGCTCTGTAAAAATGACATAAGTACTCTGAAGAAGTACATGTTTACTCAGAAATCTTTCCTACACAACCTTTCAATTATATCTTAAACATCAGCATTTATAACTGTCTATATGTGATCCCCCTAGTAGCATTGAGTAGCTACCTGATGCACTTTGTCGCGGAAATCTCGCGATTGGGCTATCTCGTCACCTGATTGGACGGCGAGTTTATCGATTTCTCACAATCCTTGGCTGGTGCGCTTGAGTTATCAAGGATCCCACGCCGCATGCTTGTCGCCATTATTGCGTGCGGCGTGTGCTATCAAGTGCTCTCCGTTTCTCCCTGCTATACCCTTATTTGATTCACTAACCCATCTGTTTTTATGTTTGAACTGTTTAGGTACGAATGTAAACGCACTATTAGGCGGTATGTGAAGAAGATCGAGCAAATGTCAAGAGAAATAGATGCAGAAGTGCATCTGCTGTTTGGCGGTAGCAAACGTTCTCGAGCGAACTGTTCAGAGCGATAGTCGTCCACTGGTAACCCAGTGGCCGGTGGCAGTGGGAGTCTTGGCCCGCCAACGTCATTGTTAGGTTATTTCGCATCTGCAGACTGTATTGCTTGGGCGGATACTGTCATCATCAACCGTACAGAAATAAATTACTAAGAACAGAAGCTTCTGTTGCCAACAATTTATTTCCGGGGGTTATAAAACATTGTTGCAACTGGCGACATGCTTATTCGTTTGGTATTATTGCTATAGCTGATGAGACGCAAGTTGAGGCTGCCAAAGCGGTTGATGGGAATTTGATGATGCCATATGATGCTGAGACAGTTGCGAATCCTCGTTTGTTAAGGTATTATGCAGAGCTAGAGGCCCATGCTCTCGAACGCCAGGCGGCTGAAGCCGTCCCTGACCACACACGTACAGTGATTGACCGATCTCATGAAATGTTGGCCGAAATTCTGAAATGCGTCTTCGATTTGGAAGGATTACTTGGGTGGGATTGTAATATAGATTATCTCGCGGCCTAATGCTACCATATTTCGGACTCGTCAGGATGCTGGCTTTTGAATGCACTTCTTTTCGACCTCCTGCAGAAGTTACACTCGACAAAAAATTACTACTTAAGTAACATGAGTTTTTCTCACTGATTTTCGATGGTCATATAAATTCAAACATACTTTACAGAAAACATGCACGAAAAATGCTTTCTTCCACTCATTTGGTAGGGAATCACGACGCCTTAACATTTTACACTAACAGACGGGTTATATTTAGGTTTTAAAAAAGTTTTCCGATTCCCGAATAATTTTAAGCCAGATCAGCCGTTGCATAAGCGTTTAGCCATTTCAGTCCAAAAGGCACATGCTTTCCGCGTAAGAAAAATCACCTATTCCTCTGTGACTTTAAGAAGATACAATTTATTATTCATGAAATTTTACAATGGGTGCGGACTATGTTATATATTTCATGAGGAGCATTGGTAAACAGACTGGCACGATGCTGTATGAAAGGATATTGCACGATCTTACAAATCGCATAAGTAAAAACTTTTTAAAACCCAAATATAACCCGTCTTTAAGCGTAAAATGTTAAGGCGACGTGATTTCCTGCCAAATGAGCAGAAGGAAGCATTTTTCGTGCATGTTTTCTGTAAAGTATTCCAATATATATATTGGAATTTATATGACCATTGAAAATCAATGATAAAAATTCATGTTACTTAAGTAGTAATTTTTTGTCGGGTGCAATTTCTGCAGGAGCTCGAAAAGAAGTGCATTCAAAAGCCGACATCCTGACGAGTCCGAAATATGGTAGCATTAGGCCGCGAGATAATCTATATTACAAGGCCACCTAAGTAATCCTTCCAAATCAAAAACGCATTTCAGAATTTCGGCCAACATTTCATGAGATAGGACATTCACTGTACGTCATTTTAACTTGGAGATTGTAAATCTTTTTTGCAAACGAAAATTAGAGATTTTTCACGCGCGAGCACGCCTAGCCATTGGTTCATTTCAAGTTTATACCATTACACATTTTTGAGGACGCTGAGGCGTCGTCCTGGTGGCCTAATGGATAAGGCGTCGGCCTCCGGAGCCGAAGATTGAGGGTTCGAGTCCCTTCCAGGACGGTATTTTGCACTTCGCCGTACCACCAAAACTGACGAGTCTTGGACGACGACTGCAAAACGTCCCCGTAAAAATGACTACCAATGGAGTATGCATTTTTTTTTATCGACCTTTGATGCCCATTACAAACTCAAATATATTATACAGAAAAGATGCATTAAAAATTCCTTATTGTACCCATTCGGTGGAAAATTACGTCTTCTTTAAAGTCCTACTTTAAGAAAGTGCGTTTCGGTTTCAAAAAAGTCTCCAATGATGAGATTTTTTAAGGCCATGAAATGCCAATCCACACAGCATCGTATGAGTACGTTCGTTAATGTTTCTTATAAAGCATACAACATTGTCCACATCCACTGTGCAATTTTGCCAGTCTCATATGACGTCTTAGTAACAGCATGTAGAAAGTGTTATGTTCCTTCGACGGAATGTATAGAGTATGTAGTTTGGAAACCCTTAATGCAAGTGCAACGGAAGGTGGGACAAAAAAATCATTCGAAAATTGAAAAAGTCATTAAAAACCGGAAGATACCCTCTGTGCAAGAAGAGCATTCAAAGGCCGGCATTTTGACGTGACTGAATTTTTTTTAGGATTATGCTACACGACAGTTGGCACTACAACTCTACGCAAGTAGTCTTTTTCGAGTCAAAAACACATTTCAGAACTTCGGTTAACATTTCGTGGGGTAACAAATCTAGTGCATCTCGATCGCAAAAAGGCGACAGGACACATGTGCCTTGATTGCGTCAGTGGTGACTTCCGGACTGAGCATCTGTCAGGATTAGAGGTTGCCGAGACGTGTTCGTGGCAAAGGCGGAGCGCGAAAACGAATAAGGAAATGACAATTGGCAATCCGTTTCAAAATAAGGCTAAAAACTTAACCATGGAGACAGATCCGAAAGAAGAAAGCACTAAAGGGAACCCTCCGGGTGAAATGAACGCTAGTCTGAGCTACATACGAACTCTGAAGGATAAAGACGTTCTTGATAAGTTAGAAAGGGCCACAAGACGCCATTCAGAACACTGAAAGTGTCGGATCAGTAAACCGGGGACATGAGGACAGGTCCAATGGCAAAGATGGGGAAGTTCAGAAACTGACTTCTTTAAAAACACTTTGCAGGGCCTACATAAACAGCACGGCCCAAAACAAATGCATGCTTCTTCAATGTCGTTGGTAACTGCAAAAGAGAATACAGGAGATCAAAACAACCGGCTGGTTCGCGAGACAAATTAAGCGAACGATACGTTGAACGAAGCGAAACAATTCCCTCGCTGCCTCTAACGCGCCGAAACTAGACCCTGTTTAGCTCAAATGGAATGACCTTATTGACGGCGATACGGCAGATCCTGGAGGGCTGGGCCAAGCACTCGAAGCGCGTTCTCAACTGTCCATCCAAAATCTACAAGAAGGGCACATTTGGCCCCTCCCAAACGGAGAGCAGTGCTGGCCTCCATCGCAGTAGACAATTAAAACAGTGCAGCAGAAGACCAGTGGAAAAACGCTGGACACCGATTATGTTTGAGGGGAAAGTCCACAAGTATGGTGAACTCAAACTTTTCCACAAGGTTACTTCACGATTGCGGGAGAAGTGACAAGGACAAACCTGATGAACCTCAAAGGACACAGCTCTTGTTATACTCAGTTGTCTGAAGCAAAGACTTCATCCAGACTATCAGTTACGTTTCCGAAGGCATTGTGGAATAAGTAGTATGAATTCGCTGCACGGAAATTTCAGGAAGAATGCACTTAAATAATGGCCATCCTCTACGCCACCTTTTTCCACCTCATGACAACCGAGACGGACTCTAAAAAATGCCGATGGGTTAGCCTCTGAAGTCTTCGCGGCGGGAAATGGACTGCGGCAGAGTTACACACTCGTGTTCCCCACAATGCTCATGGGCGACCGCCGGGATGATTTACGGCAACTATTTAACCATCGTTATATGCACGATGTCAAACGCCTACCAAGTCAGGATACATGAATCTTGTACCTGCGATGTCAGTATGGTAGAGGTCGTGCGGCATGTTTATGCTACTGGTAGCCTGTTAGCAGTTAATGAATGTTACGCAGTTATCCCGGTGAAGCTGACGGATCTCGACTCCCATATTCATATAAACTTTCGAGCTGAGCCTATAAGGCTTAATTCCGATCAGTATACTCCAAGGTAGCGATTACTTTCTAAAGGATACTAAAGGCACTAAGTTATGCTACTTATATACTCCCACTTTGTCGACGAAAACGCACTAAAACCACTAGTGAGGCGGAAGTGCAGTCAGGTCTGCGCCCTTTCATTCTCCCGTGTATCAATCGGTGCCAATTGTCGAAGGTGTCGAACCCACGACTACGGTCAACAGCGATCGCCGAGAAGCACCATCCTAGGGACCGAAATAAACTACAGAATTTCGACATGACGAATTGTGATGTGAATGCTCCCCTCAAAGTAAAAGTCCAAAATGAATAACTGGTTGAAAGTTCACCCTGCTGGTCAAAGTTTTCAAGCCGATAAGTCTAGACCGGCTCACTTCAGTTCAAAAAGCGACGGCTCTATTTTCTATCCAGAGACAGACCGGAACAGATTCAGCATTAAGGTAGGGCACAAAGGCCCATTAAGTACCCAGCTCTGTATAACGGAAAGCCAACCTTAAATGGGCCAGTTTTCTTCATGCACATAAAAGTGACTCACCAGGTGAGATAGGAAACCAATAGTTTCTCAAGGAAGTTTGTTTGGGCATCGCGTTCGTGCAAAATGTTGTAGAAGTTTGCTAAGTAGGCCGTTATGTCTACTTCGCGTTTCGGCCGGGTACCATCTACGCTGTTAGGTGCTGGTATGATGTCCATGCCGAGAAGCCATGCCCTGCAGAAGCTTCCGGCGGTTGTGGATGGCGAGGCAGAGGACGGTGCAGTGCCAGGGCTCCAATGAGTCGGGCTTCCAACAGTTTGTCTTAAGAGGGGAAGGGTCGAGTCGGATTAGAACACCCACGATCAGGGGGAGGTGTGAATTCCCATTTGCATTGAACAGATTAAACGCTCACCTGTCCTTAACTTTGCATATGCGTACAGAACGGATGTGGTCGTTCTCCTCGAGGAAACTCGCCAGATCGCGCAGTCTGGAATCGATCAGACCTCCCAGGCGTACTAACTCCTGGTAGTCGTCCGCGGCAAGTTCGAGCTTTAGGAAGTGCCTGGAACCCAGCGGCGGGAATTTAAGGGTGTTGAGCGAATACAGAAAACGCCAACTCACCTATGATCTTGACGCAGATCGTAGACTTCAAAAAGCTCGGCCCACTTGGTTTCGCCGCGAATAATCTTCTTGACCAGGTTATGGGCTAGAGGTGGTTAAACACGTGCGTAAGACTTCTATGCAGTGTCAGTTAGCATCCCGAAAAACCCACACTCTATGCAAACATGTTTGCGGCAGATGGTCATTGACAAAAATTGAATGTACGGGTCCCTAATCCTGAAACTTTTAAGTAAGTGTACAAGTGGTGATCGTTTACCATGTCTGGTGTAAGACAATCAAGCGAGAAAAGTAGCAGATAAAACTACCTGGGCGACAGCACTGACGACTGGCTGTGGATTAGGCCCCTGCGTAGAGGGAATTTTCGACAAGGAGTGATAGTTCGACCGTCGTAGCCGACGACGTCCATCCTGCGCCCCACAGCAGAGTGGGCGCAGAGACGGTGACCTGCGCGAGTTACTTTATACTGATGGCGGACTTGCTCCGCATCTACCACACTCCCCCCTGACCACGGTGCCAAGATAGAGTCAAAAGACCGGAGGCAGAATTAGGCGCAGGCGGCTGGCACAGCGTAAGCCCGCGCCTTGGCGTCCCAACAGACCCCCTCCCGTTTGCCGCGGGCGCGCAGCCCCAATAATGCGTATCATGCCCTAACCTAGCGCATTTACTTTGACTTCAGCAAGGCGTTTGATTGCGTTCCACATAGGTGCCTCGTTAAAAAGTTGTCAGGCGTAGGGATAAGATGAAATCTCCTGAACTGGATTCAAGATTTCCTAAACGGTCGTAGACAAAAAGTTGCCGCGGGTGGCTACTGTTCAGAATGGACACCTGTTAAAAGTGGAGTGAAACAAGGGTCAGTTCTTAGGGGTTCCCATTCACTATCTATGTAAATAATCTAGTACGGGAAATGCAATCGGACAAAGCGCTCTTTGCAGATAATCTTAAACTTTGGAGAGCGATAAAAGAAAAGGACGACGTCAAGATACTACAAGAGGACGCAGAGGATTTGCGCACATGGAGCGAGAAATTGTGCATGAAATTCAACGTCAAATAATGCGTAGTAATGCACACGGTATCACCAAGGTGGAGAACAAATGCACCCTCACGACAGTATCTTCTAGACAATCAATCACTTTAAACCGTATAGATGCAAAAAGATCTCCGCGTATTCATTAAGGACGATCTAAACGTCATCACGCAGTGTTCTAGGGTCGCAGCGCGGGCAGTGGCAGTCATTAGCGCGATACGAAGAACGCTTATTAACTTGAATGCAGATATCTTTGGAAAGGTATATGGGGCACTTGTGCGGCAGCACCTGGAATATGCGGTACAGACTTGGCGACCGTGGCTTCAGAAGAATATAGATATTCCTAAAGGTGTATGGCGACGTGTTACAAAGGCCGTTCATGAACTCAAAGATTTTACGTACGAGCAGCGCCTGACGGCCTTGAAACTCTATCCCCTCCACTGCAGGCAGGACAGAGGTGACCTCATAGAAACGTTTCAGTTGCTAAGAGGACTTGATCTGGATGTCGACTGGGAAACGCTTTTTAAAATGGCACCAAAGTCTAATCTCAGACGACACGAACTGTGCCACACAAATCAACGTTCCTCCTCTTTCCCACAGAGGGTCATTCGCCAATGGAATTCTTAACCGACGTATGTAGTTGATTCCCCTACCGTGAGTGTGTTCAATAGACAACTGGATAATCACCTGCTAAAAGGCAACCCACACTGCCGAAGCCCAATCTGGCAGATTACTGAATTGAATATTGACATGCTACTAACATGATTTCAATAGATCCTTTTTTGTGCATCAAAATTGACCCATAGGAAAATTTTCAGTGCGAATGCAGTGAACAATTTTCTCGCAGTTATTTCGCAAATGCCGTACCTTTTCGCAATTATGTGACACTGTTAGACTTTTGCATTCTGCACACTAAAACTACATGTAGAATTTTTGCAATTCAATTATTTTCCCTCACACCTGTACCGTTTAAATGGAGTTTTCAGGGCTTCTGTCGTTTATTCCAAATATACTAACTGATACTGACTGAAGGCACGATAAATGATGCGTGCAGTGCGCCAGCCACCACTATAACGACCGGCTGGACAGTCGTACGGACCCCAAAATAGGAAAGTCTATCCCTTACTTCGGATTTAAAGAGTAGTAAGAGTGGAATACTGTCTCCAGGTAATTCATGCACGGCGGCTTGTCAGCAGTAGTAAGCTTTCTTAGAATGAAGCCGTTAGGTCGACGATTTGCCTGGTTCTTCTTTGTCCTTTTCAAAAGAGGACGTTGCTGGAATGAGTGCCTTTCTGTGGTTTTTTTCGATGCACATATAAATATGATCATCTGTTTTGGGGAAAACGTACTAGGCTTTCTACAAATCTCCTTAGGAAATTTCATTCCATTTAAACAAGGTGTTGTGAGTAGAAAATAGTTCGACCCTAAAGAAGTTCAGTACCCCATGGATCCCTCAAACTACAGCCTGCATTTTGATTTTAAGATTCCAGGCTATGTGATGCCTGCTTAGGGAAGGAAATGGTTAGAACCGAGGTTCAGAAAAAAAGACTGATATTAGAGTACATGCACAATTAAGGACATCTTGAGGTCTGGAAATTGGGCACTTTTTAAGAGTGAGATCTTGGTGCTTCAAAATATTTGGTTTTAGAAAGGCAATATTTTTTACAAAAAGCTTGTAAAAACGCGAAGTAATACCTAACTTACAAGGAAAACAATGCGTTATGTAAACACAAAAAGTAAAACATGGATCAAGTAAAGGGATAGCTGGGACACTTTTCGATTGGAAGCCAGCATGCCGCTATATTTGAATGGACTTGAAAATGTCCCGTATTTACTAGTACCGTTCTCCTTTTTTACTTGCACTCTTTTATTATCCGAAATCCCATGCACGGATTTATGTCAATATTTCATGGATGTCTTCAGTGTCTCATCTACAGTGACGCCTAAGAGAATGGTTTTTCCTGGTGAGATATCTCACTTCAGACGGCATGCGTGCTTCGCCTCTGACCGGCCACAACGGACAGGAAAAGTGGATAGACCATCCTCGGCGACCTAGACACACTCACTAAACGACTTGTCTGCGATACCTTGGAATCAAAACAGGGATAGACTACTGTTGTTACCAACTCCGGGCGAACATCTCCGATTCAGTTTCAATGAACTCAGTAAAACTTCCGAAGACAGTACTTCAAAACAACTGACTAGAAGGCCCGTCAAAGAGTCAGTTTTCATCGGACTCGTCGATTGACCTTTAGTCAAGCTTGACGATCACCGTCTAGAAGATCTCAGAGCCAGTGAAATCAGTACTGTTTATCGCAAATACAGCTAAGTAAAAAAAGGCTTAATTGTCATCTCTCTGTTATCCGAAATGAATGTGTGTCTATGTTCGCAAATAAAACACCTCTCGGGTCAATAAAAGAAAGTTGGCGAAATGAGTGAGGGCGAACTTTGAATGATGAATTTAAGACAAGTTGTGTAGAAAAGCCCAAAATAAGCAACGCGTCTCACCAACCTCGCCTGAGTTCCTTGACGACGATATCGCGTGTTGAGGGGCGCACAGTATATGCTGCATTCTTGTGTGGGAAGACCGGCGTTATTATCGGCATGAATTCGTGGTTCTTGAGGGGCGCGTTCTAAAGGAAGAAAAAAAACTACCACAAGCTGCAATCCAAAAGAGCGATCAGTTATTTAAGAGACAGATTGACACGAGTAAGGAGTTCACTGAGACAACGCAGGAGAGAAAATCTGCATTGAAAAGTTGGCAGTCAGAACCTTAAATAGGGCGCCCAAAGGGGTCGAAGTTTAGTGATATGTCTAGAAACCGAGAAAACTGAGATAGAGAAAATTCGTAAATCATTAACCAGCCACGAGACAGAGGTAACGCTTGAGTTGGCCCGAACCAATTTATGTTCTGAGGTCCTGGAGACCTGAAAATAGACCTCCCTTACATTACATAGCGCCCTGCGACATAATTCGAAAATGGATTAGGAAGTGTGGAGGACTAGCCCGAGAATCGAAGGGACACATGCACACAGAAGCATGAGAGATCCCAGCAACGGATACCAATACAAAAGAACTAAAGACATGACCACCAACCAGAAAGGAACCTCTCTCCTCTACTCGCACTGATGTTCAGAGTACGTGTGAACTGAGCGCTTTGGCTAATTGAAGAGTGGTCAATCAGGGCCAAAAGTCGCATAAAATGCATAACAACGACTAGTGAACGAAGTTGGGCGGAAAATTTGGTGAGCTGCCGCTAAATTAAAACCTCTGTTTCGCCTAGAAAACGCCAAACTAAATGTGACATAGTGGGCCTTCCCATCTTGCTGGCAGCTGCGAATGCATCGCCGAGTTTACAAAGGGTAAATGAAAAGCTAACGATAAAAAACGCCAGAAAAGGGGTGCGCGACGGGGGGCACTCGCTATAAAAGAAGAAGGTATTTGAACTCACCCTGGACTGCCACGAATAGAGGCGTAATTCGGGGACAGAAACGACAGGCGATAAGATAACCGGGCATGGCCATAACCAATGAGAGAAGTATGTGAAAAATATTTGCACCAGACTTGTGAGGGTTGCATCAGCCTTGCGCTTTGGAGGCCTAATGAAGTTTTCGCTGTCTACGGATCGTGAAGGGACACCGGACTGCAGGTCAATCAGCTCAGCCAACAAAATTGTTTGATCCAATAGGCCCAGATATGAATTCGAAAGTGATGTCTAGATGGCAAAAGTTAACAACAGGGGAATAAAATAGTGGGTGATACATACTCAAGGCAAGATAACGTGTAATTCGAGGTATAGGGTTGTTTTAAATCAGACTTTCCCAAATACAAGTATATTTATGGTCCAAAGGAAAGGCCGGATTTCAAGAATTCGATAAGCAATGCCCGCAGGCTAAAATCCTTGGTTTCCAGAGTTAACTGGCATTTTGAGACCTTAAGAATGTTAACTTAGGTAGTTACGTGTACTAGCAGTAAAAGTTCTTGACATTCAGAAGTGTCTATGAGGTTTTACTAACAGTTTAACAATCTTAATACAAAAATCCCATTTTGGACTATGTTTTCAAGTCTGAAAATGCCAGGATTCAGAGAGGTATGACAAATATATGAAGACTTGACAAAAGTGCACCTTACTCTGATAAGCCGCTGAAATGCTTTCCATTGTTCGTCATTCTAGTTAGTTTACTATGCATTACGAGAGCAGGAAATGCAATACGTCAAGTTCATAAAGCAGCTATGTGGAAAATCTAACAGTCAATAAAAAAAAACATGATTTTAGGGCGACTAGGTCAGGTAGAAATTTGATCGATTCGTCAAAAGTAGTAGATTTCGGGCTTTGTGAGTATTAATTGAAGCTGTAGATGCCACAATAAGAATAAAAGGAAATGAAAACAAAAGCCGATAAAATGAACACTAACTTGAAAGCCAGTGTGGATGCAAATGTAGGCGCATAATACGGCCCAAGCAACACTGGCAGGGAAGCCGTAGACATAGTCCTTGATGAGTCTTCTAGATGCCCATGTTTTTACCACTTTAAGAAGGTCAGTAAATAATGAGAAATCAGGGACTAAGTCGTGGAACTTTTGTGCTAAATGAAGTCCAGAGAGTCCATGAACAGAATACTGGTCAACATTGCTGTAGAAAATCTCCGGCTTTTCACTGAACATTAATGGGCAGGGGACGTATGGTAAATTTAGACGGCTAAGTATCAAGTCCACCTGAAAAAGAAAAGTTAGTACAGAGATATTCTTCATTCGCAAATGGGAATGAATGTGCATTTGTGTAACAAATAGGATTACAGGTAACGAGCGAAATGCTTGAGCGCCAGACAGGCTGAATCATACTAATGAGAAATAAAATATGTAATATTCTACCCTACTTCCAATTGCACGAATCGATAGTAAGATAAGTATGTGTGGCAATAGTTAAATTAAAAACTCCGAATTATAGGAATCGGTAATAAAAGAGAGAACATAGTACAAAAAATCCAGTCGATTTTAAAAAAAACTTTATTGGACAACCCTATGCTTGAGAGATTAAGAAAACGGATAAATTTAAAGTGACCTCAGATTTCCCATAAGACCTTTTAATGATAAACTCGACTTCGAAAATCCTTAGCCGAGTCAGGTTGTAAAGCGCAGACAAAGACCCTCAAATGTACGTTTTGCAAACTCACTCGGAGAACGTTGTAAGAGAGAAAGATACGAACATTAAAAGAGGTCATAACGGCTTCGACTCGGTCGGAAGGTCAACTAAAAGCTTTCATAATTACATGATCGGCTACAAAAATGTGTGAAGGACACTTTCGGGGAAATGAGACGGCCAGCAAGGGAGTTTGGCTTAAATAAGTGGCAAAATCTGTTCGTGCATTTTAAAATCAATTAGCTGTAAAACGTAACAAATGACTTTATACATTTACGGAAGAACAGCAAAGAAATTGCAAAAAGTAATTTCTTGCGGGCAAATGGATATACTTACGCAGGTTTCTTCAACCTTCATTTTTATGAGCGGGACAAACGCATAAGGGATGGGAAGTATTTCCTTAATGCTTTGGTGTTGCTTCAAGACATTAACAAATGACCCAAAGAAGTCCTCGCGATGGATGAAGTTTGGGGTCACTAATACGGCATCAATGTCGCTATTTTTGAAGCTAGCTCCTAGACTTGTTGAGCCCTGAACAAGAACAGAGCTTGGTTCACAAGGAATACTGTCAGTACAGAAGATGCCCTGAAGATAAGACACGAGGTATTTATATAATAATGCGAGTATACTCGTTTTAGGCCTAGGTCAACCACCCAGTCTTTGGCAATTTTATTAAGCATTTGGACATGTAAGACTCTACAAAATGCACGAAAAGTGTAATTCATACTTTCTGAGCCTTGACTCGTTGGATTCAATCACGTCTAACTCCTTTAAGTATCCCACAAGTTTTTCATCCATCCTATCGCGTAATCTTCTAGGGTTACCAAAGACAACCTGCCTCACTTCTAAGGTCATAGTTAGGATTCATTACCAACAAAGTTGTTGCCAATGCCTAGGATTTATTAGGCTTCTATAGTCCGTCTGTCAAGATCTCACAAAAGGGAAGCTCAGTTTCGAGCTTTTATACAGGCAAAAACCTAAAGGGAGCATCGTACCGTTCATCGAAACTAGATAAGGCAGACAACACGCACCTAAATTAAGTCAGTTAATCAAGGGAATGAGGCTTTCGCTCTTGAGCTCCCTATTCAAATCGATTAACAGAAATATAATCATCAATTACGTAAGCAAATGCGGAAATTCAAATGTTAACTGCAGGCGTGGGCAAAGCGCAAACTGCCGCCGCTTAAACAATCGTGACAATATGTACAGTAGTTTCTTAGTAAATGAGCATCTAGTCCGCACTTAAAGGAGTCACACCATGGGATGGAATGGAGGATAAAATGATGACTGAAAAAGGACATCAGCGGAACAGAGAGCATAAAAAGAGGGGAACGAAATGCAAAAAAATAGCTAAAAACCAACTAGAAATTAGAAAGGTACAGTCAGTCAGTCAAAAATCAAGAAAAGCCGCGCAAAGATCTTGCTCTCGCATGGCTTGAAATTAATGAGGAAACACCATAAAGGCGGATGTGTAAACATATTAAGGCAATGTGTAGTGCAGTCGTTAGTCCTAGGGAATATTGCTAAAGTCTAGGTTTAATACGTGGTATAATATCGACCAATGTTTGTAAATCTTTACTCTAAATTTCGCATCTATAACTTACTACTAGATAGATGCTCCAAATAACTTCTCATTAGCTGATTCTAAACTAAGAGAACCTTATCTGATTTATTTGTGAACACGCAGGAATTTGCGAGTTTTCAGTAGTGCCCATAGAGAACACAGTTTGATAGCATTAGGAGGGCAAACTAAGGTCTACGTCGACCGTATTATTTCTCTGTGTTACGTTCTAACGTGACTTCCTGGTTGTTGCTTCTGACAGGGTGTTTGACTGAAGAATCTACCGAAAAGGTTGTCTTCCGCGAGGTCTTCAGTTGCTGCCGTATATCACTATTGTAATTTCCAACGCGGTGCTGACCGTACGATGCTTCATATGTGGCGCGATCACTGCCCATTCGACAACGCAGCCCTGGGGACAGTTGGCACATCCTCTGAATAGACACGGGGATGACATGCCGATCTCCGCTGACATTTAAATTCACGCCGTCGTCACTTGTCATATTACGAGTGCAGGCGTCGGGAGAGCTGAAAATGTATTCCCACGGGATGGAGAATTCATTTAAATTAGATGGCCATTTATTTCATTGTAGAGAGGAGGTAACGCTCAAAGTAGCTCATTTCCGATGGTGAGGTCAAATCTGTACTTCATTGTCCTCCCTTGTGATGACTGTTTAACAAAAACGGGTGCCATGCTCTAACCTAATTCAGTTTTAGTTACAAGAAGCAATTCTTGCCTAGTAAGAAAACGTCCAACTTATAGTTGATTAGATATCAGATGACCAGGATAGTTCTGCAATCTGGTTTCTTAGCTATGGATTTATCTAAAAGAAAATTGACATTACGGCATGCAGACGTGATCGAGGTCAGTCTGGTTGTAAGGAGAGTGGAGGCCAATGGAAATGGGGATAAGCGTTTCATACAGTATTCAGACCATGCGTTCTAATACGTAAGCCAATGTCATTTCGTAGACCGCGTGATGATCGACATTTGCAGTGCACATCTTCAGTCCCTTCCCTCGCGATGAACTGAACAGTACTACCCCGAATAAAACAAAGCATTAACTTTGCTTAAATTGCTAAATATCGGTAGTTATAGTCGTTTGGGCGATTACCACCTTGGATAACTTGCCGTGGAACGTCAAGATTTTGAAAACTTATCTGTCTGTTAAACGAAGTGTCACACGTTTTCTACATTAAGATAAAGTTCCGCGTCTTTTGACTACCGTTTGGAACTAATTTATATTTCGTCGTTATGGGATTCGTGGTCTTAAGCTGCACTGACTAGTCTCATCTCGGGGGATGTGGTGCTGGCTCTGCAGTCCGTCACCCGGTGGGTAAATTCTTTAATTGACAAGGAACAAGTGTTCATTTATGCATCCTTGGCTGGTACAGAACCACGCTTTCATGGAAAGGGATAGAGGCTGCAAATAGCCGCTGAATAAGTTCCACCTGTCCTCTTTCTGAACTGCTATCACTTCGGAGGTTGAAGTTTTTTTCCTAAACGACCCACATTATCCAAAACCTAACAACCCAATGGATTTATTTACTCATTGCTAGATTCAAGCTGTGCACTTATTTTTATACCATATTTAAACTGGCATTCGACAAAATTACTTTTAATGCTTTAGAGCGCATAAGTCCAGAAAAAGAGGAGGGTCCCAGTCTACGTTTTTGACGGTCACTCCAAAACTGAAAAACAGAGTAAGACTAACTTTCTGATCATCGCTAAGTCCTCAAATAAGCCCGGCCACTGAGATTTTCGCTGGATCGTCATCCTCCTAAGCAGGATTTGAAATATGAACCCTTATTCCTCCATGAACTGCTAAAAAGGCGCGCTAAAAAGTGATTCTTATAGTTGTGAATCTAACGCGTCTGGAAATCACGAACAGAAAATGGTCCCCAAGTCAATTCAATTGCAAATTGCTTCAGAGGGATACAGGCACGCTTCTTCTTCCTGATGTAGCCTTGGCAACACAAGGTAGAAAGGCCACAGGTCAACCTGCTAGCCTTATTTTACCCAGGAGGCAATGTGTGTGCGTGTGTTGAGTTTACAATTTCGGTCGTCATTCAGGACTATCAGCATCTTGTGCTGCATTCGGGGTGCTCAATGTTTATCACAACCCTGCTTTCTCGATTTTTGAATGAAAACTTAAAAATGGGATCGCCTATTCATGTATAGAAAATCCTGCTTTCTCAGGCAGCCCGTCGTAAAAATTGATGATTTTTATCATCAACGGCATTAGTCAACTACATAAGTTAGCGTATTTTCCACAGAATTCATCGAACGCCGCGAAATGTTTGCCTGCATACGTATATGTCAGAGGAAAGTTCCCACTGTGCCAAGAAGAAATGCGGGATTCACGTGGAAGAGGAAACAGAAATTAAGCCCTTGGACTGATAAAAAAAACTTATGACTGCAGATTATTTGTCCATGGGGCAAAAAGATCAAAACTAACTTCCGCCAAGAACCCTATAAACAGAGGCGAAAACTCTGTTGGTATAAAGGGATTCACATTTATTTTGTGGCAGTTGTCATGGAATTAAATAGTTTTGCTAGATGGGGAGAGTATGTCTGTAGACTGAAGGCTGCGAACTTATTAATGCCAAATCAGAACCAGCAACAATTTGATCAGTATATTCCTAGTTGCAAACTTTGCTGAAATGCTAGTATAATAACCGGAGGTGCCGACAAACATGAGGGAGACTGAAATGGCCACTTCTGCCTTTTGACCGTCGTCAGCCAGTCATACCGACTTCCGAGGTATGGAACACCTGCGGTCCGACACCGCGACCTTTTGGTTAGAATTCCAACGCCATAACCGTCGAGACACAGGCTCGTTGTCCTGTCGATTGCGATCGGATATACACAATAGCTAATATGTCAGGAAAAGGAACATTCCAGTCTCCGATGTCTTCATCTGTAATGTCATTCCGCCCATACTACGTGCCGCTCTGCGACTACTGGCTAGGCTTGAGAGAGATTCCCAAGGCAAGGGACGGGTATGTTCCATAACGCGATCGGTGAGCGTCCCTCTATCAATCGGAGGCACGTGCGAATTGACGTATTCAGTTTTTACTGACCTCTAATGTAGTTCTGTCGTGAGCGGTCTCTTGTAATGAAGGAATCCCAAAGCCACAGGTCAGGGGACAGCGTTGCGCAAAAATGTGTGCACCTCTTCTTGACTAGGACGTTGAAATCTGTGTTTTGGATTTAGTAATTATTCGCCACAGCGAGGCGAGGGGATAACTTTAGAGTCACTTCTATCCTACGTCATCAGGCAAACTCCGTCTATGGCATCCAATTTATTTGTTTGAGCGTTCGTTTTAGAACTGCTCTAAATCGAACGGGAATTTGTTTCCAACAGAAATAGACTTTATTTATTAAGTTATCCCTGACCGCCTAAGTTTGAGTCACTATTAAGTGGATGGTGCTTGCGCCCTGGAGCTCCCTATTCATATCGAAAACAGAAATAGAATCAGTTGTTGCATGAGTAAAACCGGGACTTCGAAAGTTAACGGCAAGTGCAAACAGGGCGCAAACTGCCACCACCAACCCAATCGTGATTATAGGTACGGTAGCGTCTAGTCTGCACTTAAAGGATGCAACAGTTGCGGAGAGAACCACCGCATCAGGGAGTCCGTTCCATGCTCCAATGATCATCTGCGAGAAGGCGTTCTGTAGGACGTTTGTATTAGCAAGTTTCCACGGCAGTATAAAGAGATGACCACGCCCTCGGTCTGTACCAGCCAATTCGAAGAATTCATCAAGATCTTACATACACCCACGGCCTCTGATTATCCTGTAGGTTTGAACGAGGTTGCCGAGCACCTGCCTGTAATTTAGAGAAAGCAAATGAAGTTCAACCCGTCTGGCTTCGTAACGCGGGTGATCAAGATTCTTGATCACCTTCATAACCATTTCCTGTACTTTTTCCGGCGGTCGATAATCCTTCCCGAATCACGGTCGTCAGGCCTGAGCTGCATACTTTAAGTGAGGCCGAACGAATGTCCCGTAGATTTTACCGAACAGCTCCTTATCAATCTACACAAATCCTCGCGTCAGCGCAAATAACACTAGTATCGCGCGTTTGGCTGCCCTTTGACACCGTGCTGATCGTTT